ATGAGCAACGTCAAAAGTATCGCGGGCTAACAGGAATCTCTCCGCGCCACTATCAAGCATCGGAATGGCATGGTTTTGCATGTCACGCGGTATAACAGTCTCTGCAAGACCAGAATGCAAGGCGTTGTTGAATTCGAATGCAAGCGGGGATGGCAACGCAACAGCTGGTCAGACAACCTCAAAGAGTGGACGGACATGATAATACGGGAACTCCTGAGAGTTACCGCCAACAAATCATCCTGGCGGAGATTGTCTGTTTCTTCAACCCTTAGGTTCCCCTGACGATTGGAGCAGCCAATGTATTGATGATGATGATCATGATGATTTTTGTTGCGATATTGTCTTTTTTTCAAAATAGCCGATAATTAGGACGGCCGTAGTTAGAGAAAGTATCGAAACAACAGAAGACTAGGTAGAAACAAATAAGAGGTTTATTAAATACTTATACATAGAACGGAAAAACTTGAGTAAATCAAATACTACTCAAATCCTATTCTAATGTGGCTACTTGCCATATTTATAAATAGGAGCAGTCCATTGTCACAATGGTACGGGAGAGAAGAGTTCTATGCTGCAACAATTCCTAACATGCAAGTGTTGATGTTTGTAACTTGGATATAACAAAGAGAAGCCATATTGTTACCTTTAAGTGAACATTTCAAAGTTTAGTCATGAAAAAAATCCGAGGTTACTAAACTTTACGAAAGGAACACATGTTCTATCCGTCGCCTAACTTTTATTATTCTATAACTGTTATAATTATTGTATTTTAGATATTGCTGTTACACTTTTAATGTGACTGATTTATAAATTAAATTTTGTCATAACTATGTGTAGTCTTAGATACTACGCACGGTTTCAGGCACCCGCTGGATATCTTCCCTAACATTAACAAGTATCTTCTTCTATGTGCAGTGTTCCTTTATGGCGTTTGGCGATCACGGCTCTTCACAAAGGGAATGAAGAGAAGGCTTCATTTCAGAATTAACCTAAGAAAAAGTTATGTGCATCATCTTCTTGCCCACATGACATGTGTAGACATCAATTAGAACGACACACATGCCAATATATATATATATATATATATGTATATGTGTGTGTGTGTGTGTGTGTGTGTGTGTGTGTGTGTGTGTGTGTGTGTGTGTAGTAAGGAGGAGTTGAATGCGACTTTCCGTCACAACCAATTTATCATCAAGCATTCCTCGTTTAAAGGAAGTTTGGGGATTGTGGTCGTGGGGAATAGTAACTTGACAAGTTTTTCTTCAACAGAAACTCTTAGATCATCTGGTAATTATCCAGTCGTCTAAATTTACTATTCATTTTTCTGTTTTAATTGATATCAATATCGTTGGTGCTTAACTCTTTGACAGAGTCTTTGCAAGTAAAAATAAACAACGTAGGCGTGGTACTGTATTACAAAGCGCTAATGAAATCGTGTCTAACATGACTTTTAAGCTTGGTCGTAAACGTGTATTGCAGTGACAGTGATGAAGAATTGCTTGTTAATAAATATATAATAATAGTTGAAGCAAAAGTTTCCAGCATTTCATCTTTGATGTATATAAATCTATAGCATCATTATTGAGTCTTCCGAGGGTGTTCTTTTCAGTTTGTGTATTTCGTCATAAAAGAACAATTCTGGTTTTGATCTGATGGTTTCTCCCAAGAATATTTCGATATCTTTATGAAAAATATTTTTCTAGCATTTGTAGACATATTAGCCTATAATTCAAAAAGAATCTATATCAATATATATATATATATATATATATATACATATGCACATATATGTATTTGTGTGTGCACGGGTACATATGACGATTGCATAGTACATGAAACTCTGAGTCGTACTGTCGGCGTGGAGTAGTATATATATTTATTAATATAATTAATATACTATATATATATATATATATATGTGTGTGTGTGTGTGTGTGTGTGTGTGTGTGTGTGTGTGTGTGTGTGTGTATGTATGTATGTATTTATATATTTGTATCTGAAATCTAGCATGTACATTTATTTATATTTATTTGATTATATATATATATATATATATATGTGTGTGTGTGTGTGTGTGTGTGTGTGTGTGTGTGTGTGTGTGTGTGTGTATGTATGTATTTTTTTATGCGATTATTTGGTTTCAAATAAAGATGGCGATATATATATATATATATATCGCCATCTTATTTGAATTCAAATAATCGCATAAGGGGAAAAATATTAGAAATCCCACTATACAGATACACATACGCAATTACAAATACACATTACCATCCAATTCACACTTAGACATACAAGAATCTTCAAAAACTTACATACATATAGAATTGTCTATGGTTTTAATGGACGTGATACGTGATTGACCAATGAGAACTAACCCAAACAAAATTGAAAATTCCAGTTTCTGTCTTTTGGTCTGTTTTCTCTCAATCTCTGACGAAGCTTAAATAAAAGTGAAACACGTTAGATTGATATTCGTTTCATTTTTGTTCTTTAACTTACTATATATATGTGTGTGTGTGTGAGAAAGAGAGAGAGAGAGAAAGAGAACACGTGCATATGTATGTATATGTACTCAAACAATAATAATTAAATACAGTTATAAACTTAACCGTCTATAATTAAAATCCAAATAAGATAACATCAATCTAGGTAAAAAATAAAAATAAAAAACAAACTATTAACGCCTAAACAAGGAAAACAAAAAAATAGTTAAGTGCAGACATATAAACAAATATTTCCTTTGCCGATTACGGATCCATTAAAAAAATAATTATTAACTAATTACACAAGAAATAAATTTAAAAAACTGAATACACCTTTCTTTTGAAAAACTTTTGAAAACACCAGAATATTCTGGAATATTAGCCTAATTTTAAATCGTTTCTGACCCGAAAATAACTTCGCTACATTATCTTTTGACACTCAGAGACAAAACATAAAGAAAAGAAAAAAGGTATAACGAGAGAGTATATAGTGACAAGTAAAATATGAAAAGAAATAACCACGACATCCTACATATGGGCACATACGCACACGTACAAGTGTACACATGCATAGGCGCGCGCAAGCGTACACACACATACACATACATACAAAAAAGAAAATCAACCGAGCATGAATAAAAATGCGCATAATTTTTTTTAAACTTAATATAAAAATAACGTTCTTGTTGTTTGGTAAATTCACCTTCTATCTCTCAAAAAACAAAGACAAATTACTATGTAGATATATATAACACAATATATATCCATATGTGTGTGTGTGTGTGTGTGTGTGTGTGTGTGTGTGTGTGTGTGTGTGTGTGTGTGTGTGTGTGTACAGTCTCATCTAAAAGTATAGGAACGGCAAGGCCAACTCCTTTGTTTTTGCTATTCACTGAAGACATTCGGGTTTTTTAAGATCAAAAGATGAATATGAGACAAGAGTTCAGAATTTCAGTTTTATATTTCTTATTTACATTTAGATGTGTTAAACAGCTTAGGGCATACCATCTTTTGTATTAGATCACCCCATTTTTATTATGAGAAAAAGTAAAGGAACAGATAGTCTTAAAGTAAATCACATTTAATATTTGTTTGTATAATTCCTACTTGCAATAAGACTGCAACCCACTGACATCACCAAACTATTGCATTCTTCATTAGTGATGTTTTTCCAAAATTTTAACACAGCCTCTTTCAGTTCTTGATTTTTTTTTCATTTTGACGCGTTGATTAAAGATCCCATTCAATATCCCAGATTTGCTTGTCACTTGCAAACAAAACAGTATCTCAAATGGTTGAGCATGTCCCTTAGGTTCTGATGCCATGTGTTCATGTGTCGGAGTACGGGGAGCAGTATGGCGAGATATCGAGAGGGTTTTTTAAGTTTATTACCCGACCTGAATGTATTTCTAACTGAGTCTCACTTGCAATTTTATGCGCTGTTTTTATCAAAACCTGTCACCTTATCGGGTACATTTGACTATGATGCATGCGGCTCGTATACTGTTATAATGTTAGGTGTTATGACTGATATACCGGACTTAGTATATTTGTACCTCCAGCATTACTTTGTTGGAGTACTACTCTCTCAGTCAATAATAACAATAATTATAATAATCGCTTCTCTCAAAATTTCAGACAATATATTTTACTTAAATCACAAACTATCTAAATTTTTTTTTTATTTTAACTGCAAAAAAACGATTAGAAATTTTAGAAGCAATAAGAATAACCTACAATAAATAAACGCCATTGAACATAGAAATCACTATTTCAAACATCTTTTAACAAAGAAAAAACAATTAGAATTGACAACTCCGTGAAACTATTTGAATATCTCATAAAAAATACAAATTCAAAACATATCATCTCGATATGTGACATGATAAAAAATTCAAATTCAAAACATATCATCTCGATATGTGACATGATAAAAAATTCAAATTCAAAACATATCATCTCGATATGTGACAAGAAAAAAAAATACAAATTCAAAACATAGCATCTCGATATGTGACATAATAAAAAATTCAAATTCAAAATATAGCATCTCGATATGTGACATAATAAAAAATTCAAATTAAAAAAATAGCATCTCGATATGTGACATAATAAAAAATTCAAATTCAAAATATAAATCAAAAATCTAAGACACTAGAAAAGTCAAACATGTACATTACTGAAAATAATTTTATTTCCTGATGATGACCAATGTAGCTGAAAGTAATTGGTAAAACAGTATCGGGGACTACATCTATAACCTTGAACCGCTGACCATAGGCCCACAGCCTCACCACCCTAGGTGTTCTTGTTATGGTGTCTGTAGCAAGTGGGGTTTTATGGGGTTGAGTTGCTAGTTTTGAATTCAATGTTTTCTTTCACCCGAGTTAGTTGCCAATTAAGGTTAGAGAGCCCAGTCTGCTGTTTAACCCATAACTGGAAGAATATGAAAAAGGCCCATACTTTTCCCGAAAATTTAGATTTGGCAGACACGCCGTTTCCCCTTTCTGTGCTATGCTATGCGTACATCCTGAAACATTAAATAGGCCGAAGCGAATTAGTAAATCTGTCGTACCGTCGAGTTACAACCATCAACTTCTCGTAATTTTATCTGCAGGTAAGGAGGTGGATATGAAAATTATTCAAAATGAAATTATTCAATTACTTAATTAAACTTAACTTACGAAATTAAACCCTTTAACACTAAATGTTAAACATTTTATTTTCCTTAAGAAACTGAATAATATTATATTTTAATTATGCATGAAACGTGTTTATAATATTTCTATATATATTTTTCTTATTTTATTTCAGGGAGTCCACTTCAGTTTTTGGTCGACACCGTTGGTAACAACTTTGTTACCGCTTATGGTGCTGGTCTGATTGGTGGAGCCTGTGGACAGGAAATTTCCTTTGTTGTCGTCACAAACAATGACTGTAAGTTTTCATATTATTTTAAGTTAAATATTCAGTAATATCCTAATCATAACCGTTTCTTTGTATAATACTGAGTAAGACCTGATATGCTAATATAACTGACTTTTTCATTAAATATTTTCATGGTAACTCTTATTGTGAGCTTTCCACTTTGGTATCTAGACTTTACAAATTTAAGCGCAGTACTAGTTTGCCGGCAAGATCTCAACATTTTAAAGTTAAAATAGCTAGATGTAACTGTAAGTCCAATGCTAACAGTTTCTTCACTCGCACTTCTCGCTTGTGGAATTCACTCCCGGTTTCTTGTTTTCCAGTCTACCCTGATCTTCAAATATTTAAAACCTAGGTACCACAGAGAAGAGTTCATCCAAACAATTACGATGAAAATATTTATAGAAAAGGCACAGGAAACAATTTTACGGGTATAGGAAAATGATTGAAGCCGAGACGTCAGATCAGGACCAATAATATTGCTGATTCTTCTTTGAATTTTATCAAGAATCTCTAAATATATAGCAGGAGCACCGAATCATATCTGGCAACAATATTCAGACTATGGACGAATAGTAGACTTATAGATATGTAAGATAGATTTCGAAGATAAAAAAATGTCTAGTACAACACAGTGAACCAACTTTCTTAGCAGCAGACTTAGCAAGGAATTCAATATAGTTTTTCCACTTCCTGTCAACTGTAAATATTTGCCTGAGAAGGCACAAAGAGTCACTCTCTCGGAGATCAGCATCAGCTATGCTGATGGAAGGCAGAAAGAGGTCTCACAAATGATGAATGGAAAACATGCTATAAATTCTGTTTTAACTGTTACTTGAAATGCTTTTCACTTATTTTCACGCATTCTACACATCTTTTTTTAAATAAATTCATCTTTTTAAATAAAGAAAGAAAGTAGTTAAATGCTCTGAGAGACCAATATCTCCGGAAAATTAGAAAGTAAATTAACAAAGTCATAAACAATATCCTAAAATATAGAGAAAAGAGAAAAAACATCATACACTTGAAATTAAAACAGAAGAAATGTCCTGGTCTCAAAAAACACTTTGAGTCACATTTCAACCCTGAACACACTAAGCTGAAGATGCTCGTGAAAGCAGAACATACACTAGTATTTATCCAGTCATTACAAAATATGTCTCCAAACGGAAACAATAGCGAATCTAGTGACGAGGAAAGCTATAAAACCCCTGAAGAATAATAAAACACTTGATATTGAGTTTGAACTTTTGAAAATAATATACCCATTACCTGAATTTAAAAACAAGTTCTGTTTCATAGAAGTTGGGAATCAGAAGCGCATCCCACAAATGTGAGGTATATTGCGCATTAATACACTATGGAAAGAAAAAGGTCATCCCCAAAACTCTTATACGTACAAAGGTATCTCGATTGGATCCATTGGGATGCAAGTAGTGAAAGTATTAATAAGCATTGTATTGAATTGACTCCCACCGTTCTATGAAATTCTACTCCTCACAACCCAGTTTAGCTTTCGTTTTAGTAAGGGATACAATGATGGTATATATATATATATATATATATATATATATATATATATATATATGATCTATCCACTACACTTCTCATCCTTTCTTGTATCACTCCTATCTGATCTTGCTCAAAATTTTCTGTAACCCCCTTGCGTCCTAGTGGCTTCTCGCCTTACTTGGGGCGAAACGCTTAATATATATATATATATATATATATATATATATATATATATATATATATATATATATATAATCAAACAGCAGCAGGAAATTGCAAACCTATCGAATAGAAAAGTGTATACTAGTTATTACCATTACAACAGAATATGACCACAACAATGACTTTCACTTCACATCCATTAGAAACCGCTTTCTAACCTCTGACTCCACTAAATGTCTAGATCTGACAGAGGAACTATATCAGCCCACAAAAGATGCACATGCCTGGCGTAGACCCCAATACGGAAACATTTCAAACCTCACCAGGAATACGACAAAGAGGAAATGCGAGCTCCACTCTATTTAATCTCTTATTATACTATGATCTGCGCATATATAGTCAAATTTGTGAAGAGATGTACACTGATCATTTAATCATTCCATCTCTTATCCCAATCTACTAATAGGAAACATTGATCCTACTTTCCCTCCTGAGGTCAATGTACTGATGATGAAGGAACTGTACCAAAGACATAGGTATCCATAGTTTGGATAATATGGTCTGAAACAAAAAAAATCAGCATCTGCTATCAAGGGTTCCAAGTAGGATAAAGATAAACCTTTCCAGAACAGAAACTATTTGAATTGGAATGAAAGCAGTGATCACGTACCTTCAATCCATTACAAAATTTCAGGATATGGAATTAGTAAATACTAAACACATCAAATACTTTTGTCTATGAATCTGCTACACAAATTTATAATAGGCGATTAGGAAATTTAACAAAGAATATGCAGCACTAGGGTTTCTTTTGCCGAGTTGGAATGTAACTTTGAACCATTGCACTCCCCAAATTTCTGATGAAGGTAAATAAATAGCGAAACAGGTCAAATTTATAAACATTTACTACTTGTTCCTTATGTAGTCATATATTAATATATGACCAGCCAAATCCCCGTCTTTCGAACATTTCTCGTAATAATAATCATTAAATAATTCAGCAGACTATGTTACTTTATTTAAGGTAACTGGATTTTTAGCGATTGGCTTACTCGGTTTACGTGGTTCGATATTGTGCATTTGGAAAATGACGCTTTTGTCAAAGTCGTCATGGATCTCAGACTTTTAGCTGAGATCAGAGAGTCGTATCTGCCATTGGTCGGATAAACTGCCTTTTATCTCTCAATTGTGTCCCTGTCTTCGGACAGAACGCAACTAATTTGTGTCTCTATCTGCGGACAACTGAAAATACTATTGAGAGGTGCCCGGTCTCGGGAAACAGCTGCCCGCGACAGTACCCTCCCTCGTTACATTTAAGAATAGTTGTTGGTCGTAATACCGATGCCAGTCCAGCTAACGGTTGCGGGGGCTGAGTAATTTTTGGACATGGCCCTGGTACACGCACTCGAGCTCCCCACATTAACCTGACCCTGTGTTACATTCTACCAATTCTTACTTGGTCTTTTGGCTAAGATCAAAGTATAGTATCTGTTCTTATCAGTTTAATCCTTTTCTCTCTCTTTTTGTGTCCACTTCTATCTTGACTTCTTTCTTTCATTTTCTCAATGAAACCAAGTAGTGTCATTTCCCATGCGATCAGAATGGAACAGTCCATTATTTATGAGGTATTGATAAGGCGTAACGGTCGTGCGGACTAACGAAAAGTGGAATAAGCACAATTTTAATAAGATGCTAATATTTGTATCAACTTTACATTTAATTATGCAGGCATGTATCTTTGTCACGCTTTTGACTCGTACTTAAAATGAGTTTTGATCTGAAACTTTCATAGTGTTCAGTACATTTGATTAATATTCAACACTGAATCAATGTCATTTCTTGTCAATGCACTTAGGTTGAAAAACTTTTGCGATGTAACTTTGTTTTCGTCATAAGGCGACTGGCTTATTGATACATCTACAGAAGTGGTATTTCACTTGCTTATTTTTTTTTACTCTGTAGCTTCCTTGAGTGTCACCTTAGACGGTCCCAGTAAATTGGAATTAAAGAAGGAAGACCTTAAAGACGGGGCAGTCAAATATAAATTCATGCCCATGAACCCAGGTGCCTATGAAATCAGCATCAAAGTCAAAGGGAAACATATTAAGGGATCGCCATTCACATCTAAAATATCAGGTAAGTCTATAAATAAAACTTTTCTTAGTTTTTTCAGGAAAAAAAAATAAGGTGATCCATTATTGAACTATACATTCTCCTGGGAACAAATTTAAGAAAATGTAACGGGAAAATCCCCGTTATTTCAATAGTGAGAACTACGCACATCCCAACTTCCCACAGTCACTGTTTTGATTCGACCCTCCATCTATGCAGAAGTGGCCAGCAATCAACAATGCTAAAACCTTTTCAATCCGACTCAATTCCCGAAATCGATATTATGATTGTCATTCAAATACACATTTTGGAAGGAGGTCAGACAGAGAATTTTTCAGCGCCTTACGCATATATGGCCTGACGATTGCGTTTAGCACCAAACAGACCGTCGTCTTCGGGTGTTAATTTCAATGCCCGCTTTCATATATGTATAAAAGGAAAATAAAAGGAATAAGAAGGTCACAAGACTGGAAACACGTGTAGCAGAAATATGAAGAATAAAATATGATATATATATACTAAAGTAAATCCAGATTCTAACCAAAAACGTTTGTGGTTTCTCTCTTTTAAAAAAAAAATATACATTTTTCTCTCGTTGGAACAACTATAACCTTTTCTCTCTCTCTCCCTCCCTCTCTCTCTCTCTCTCTCTCTCTCTATATATATATATATATATATATATATATGTGTGTGTGTGTGTGTGTGTGTGTGTTGAACTTTATTAAATGTTACTTGAATATCTGACTCTATCTTTGATGTGAAGTTTCCTCAACATAAAGGAGAAGTGAAATATTACATAGAATAAAAATTAATAAAGGTAATTTTAACCAATTTGATGTTTAAGGAATTTATGTTGTTTCTCTAAAAAACAGATGTCACCAAACGATTAAACTTGATGGCAATGCTTTTCGTCTTTTATTTTAAAGAATTAATCTTTTGTATCTCACTTGATTTTACTTTTCTTCTTTCTCACTGCTGTCAAGTTTTTCTCTTTTTTTCAAATTTTGTGCGGTCTGGTGTAATGTATAACGGCTCGGAATATGAAATCAAAAAGCCGAGTTCGAATTCCAGTCGGGTTCATTACAATCACTTACACGCAAATACCTTTGGGAAATGTGTGAATCTGTCTCTACTCCCCGAAGCTATGGGTTGAATTGTAGGATAGACTATGACCTTGGTTGCTAACCATTCTATCACAGGAAGAAATATACTGCGAGAAAACATTCTGCCTAAGAACAGTCATTAATTGAAAATCATATGATTGCCCAATTGTGTATTACGTATGGCACTTCACTAATTAAGAAAATTCTTCAATTATTTCACTTCCTCATCTTTATTCATAAGGTCGACTGTATTCAAATTTAACCACCTGATTTGTGCCTTAATTCCCCGCTTTCCTAAAACTAAATCTGATGTAAAACCTTGTCCTGTTAATTTTAAATTTACTTACACTGCGTATTTTTTTTTTAATTTTTAAGACATTCTTTCTTTTATTTCGCAGGAGTTGGACGTAAACGTTCCCAAATCTCTTTGGGTGAAAGCAGTGAATATTCTCTGAAAATAATGGATGCTGACATGGTTAACCTAACAGGAACTATCAAGACCCCGCCTGGAAATATTGAACCATGCTTTTTGAAGAAGCTCGCTGACGGCTCTCTGGGTAAGTAAACCTTTCATTTTAAGCTAGTGATTTTGACATCATATTCTAATATAAAGAACAACAAAGGTATTCATTAGAAAAAATCAGTATATTTTTCAAATGAATTTTACATATAATCGCCTTAGAACAGAAAGATTAAACTTCAACTTTACAGAGATTCCTATTCAGTTTCGGAAGTGACAGTATGGCTGGATCAAGAGATTCTTTTTCATCTTGGCCATCACTCCCATGATGATGGCCTTCAAAGAGTCCTTGGTATCGTGGAGCTACTCCTTGGATGATGATGTCCCAGGTGTAGTTTTCCAGGAGATTACCTTCAATCGAGCTAGAAAATCACAATACTTCAGGTTATCTACGATGACAGTCGTCAATGAATCCTTAGTATTGTGGGGTCGTTCTTTGGACTATGATATCCCTGAAGATTAACATCTGTAGAGCTAAGAAGTTCCAATAATTTTAGGTATTTAGGATGGCAGTCTTCAACGAATCCTTGGTATTGTGGGGCCGCTTGTAACGTTGATTATGTCAACCTGATGATGCAACTGGCTTTTCTGACGGTCACATTGAGTGCAAACTCTGTTTTGATTTAATCAGAGGTGACTCGCAAACTGCAAAAGATTAATAAAATAAAAACACCCTTCAGTCTCTCGACGGCCTTGATTCAACCTTGAAAAGCGACTGCATGCCCGAATCAGGGGATTCTTGTTCACGTTGTCTATCAATACCACATTAGAGGCCTTCAAAAAGTTTTTTTTTTTTATCTTGGGCCGTCGTTGTTTAACATCCTTTTTGATAACGCTCCACATATCGAAGGGATTCAAATCGGGTGATCTAGGGGGTCACATGTTATGGAGATGACATGGCTGTTAAAAGTCTCAGTCAGCTACCACGTCTGCGTTACGTGAGTCATGTGGTAGTTAGCAGAATTTTGCTGGAACACGTGCGACTATCTCTTCGATCCAGAATATAGGTGACTATATTGACTCTGCCGCCATATAGGAAGAAGCGGGTCAGCATAACATAGTCTCCGCTGCTCATCACCCCGGAACTATCGCAGACAGCATTAAATTTATGTTAATTACTGTAGCTACCGTCATGGTATCCGCACAGAGTCAAATGTCTTTTCTCCTGTTCACCTAGTCACTATCATCTAACTCATTATCTCCGATTCGCTGTGGTTTATGACTAGTGCTATGATCACATCGTTTTCCATTTGCTTTGCAGAAAGTGTGTTCTCAAATACATATAAACAGAAAATATTTGCCATGTTAAGTACTATAGTGTTTGGTGGGAAGTAAAGAAAACAAACTGTCAACTCAAAACACAACAGGCTGCACGTACGGACAAGGCTTGATATAAGTGTATATACAAAACCGTGTTTTAACATCACTCAAGGAAAGATAGAAAATTTCATTTTTAAAATCTATAAGCAAAATAATGCTACACATACTTCCTGCTGGGAAAAAGAGCCTGACATCCTTTCGTCTTGTTTCCAACGAGATTTTAAACGCAGTCAGCCTAGTCCTAGATTTTGCTCCTGGGAAAAGTATTGGTCTTCACACAAAAACACACACACACACACACACACACACAATTTCGGGCTTAAAAGTACTTGGTCCGACCAAGAGGGGATTCTAAAATTGTAAGGGAAGTCGTAGTCGACCAAGAAGTAATTCTAAAATTGTAATGAAATCTAAAATTGCAATCATGTTGTATTCCCATTGGCTAGTGTGTGTGCGCACGCGTGCGTGTGTGTGCGCGTGCGTGCGTGCGCGTGCGTGCGTATATGCGAGAGTGCGGCCAAAGAGCTCTCCACTTACATTCTCGACTGCGATGTGTGAAAGGCTGCCTAATTCCTCTCATATAAACATCCACACCAAAGAGGAATATAATATCCTGTAATACGATACTACACCTGGTTTCTGTGACGTCACACTGACTGAAAGGCATGTTCTGGCATGAGCAGAAGTGCAACATACACTACAAAATAAATTATAGTGTTTGGCCATTTGGTAAGATTTTGAGAAGTGGGTCGATTCGAGAACTTTTTACCACCACCGCCTATGTAATTTTGTCTAATTGTATGGTTCACACCCCTCCCCGGTTTTTAACAGAAGTAGATGTTTATCCTTTGTTTCTTGTTTAGCACTGAGTTTCCGGTTTTTATTCTCTTTCATACCCAGAAGCCCCTTGCATCTTAGTGACATTATCGTCTTATTTGGAGTGAATTGATTTTAAAATGGCTAACCATTATATATATAATATTATTATTATTATTATTATTATATATAATGGCCTCATCCTTTACTTTTCTTCTTGTCAGTAACTTTGATCATAAAATTCTGTGTTCAAAATTCATCATGCTACCTTTTTAAAATTATTGCCTCTTCATAACTCCTCTGAACACTTAACGGCATCTTGAGAATTCATTATGCCCCAAAGGTAGCGCTGTTGCTCACGTATAGAAACACTGACTTAATCAATGATGCGTTGCATTATGTTGCTGGAAACGAACCAAGAAATATGCTGGATACAAACGGAGTGTAAATGTTTTCTAATAAAAATCTGTGTATATTTACACCGGTTATAACAAATCATATGGGCGCGTGGATGAGGAGATAGAACGTTTGCTTTCTGACCATGGGGCCCGGGTTCGAATCTCACCACGGTTGATTTGTCAGAAGACTTCCTGACGTTATCGGTCGGGACGATACCAGCGTGCGGCACCATTGGAAAGTACCTGAAAACGATACCAATTGTGAGCGAAATTGGGTAGCTGGTCATCGTGATCAAGTCATCGTGACCGAGGGTTTGAGTGTGCTGGCTTTGTTCAGATTGTTGATAACACGCTCTCTCCCAGAAACTGTAACTAAGATCTGCTCAGCATAGTTGTATTATAAACCAAACACAACACTGAGCGAGCGTCTGCAATAGGGATTGGCTAGCCGCTCTAGTAGACGGGTACCCTCGAATGCGAGTGGCCAGCTATTATATTATGACCAGATTTCACTATTGATCCTTAAAAACTACAACAGAACCCACCAACACAATTACAGAACAACTAACTCGTAAAACAGCCTGATGATATGCAGGATCCATAGCCTCATGCGGTCTCTTACGCACACAAAATCTATCGTCTTCTACTGTCTAATAGCGTTTATATTTGGCCTAGGTGCGGTGATGTTAATATCGGCTCCTTTATCTGATGACTACTAAGAAACCCCTTGGAATGCAGTTCACGCTTTGCAGTATATTGACTAATGCAATGAATTGTGTGGTGATTTGATACAATGTTCGCCCTTGTTAGTTAGTTACCACCCTTTTCACTCGCCGGCACTCCCGGTTTTGCAACACTTATGAGCTAATATTGTTCGAGAAAAACATAGAACAGTTACCACATTAGAAACAGCAAGCTTCGTTTATCTGGCCCTATCATTCCGACACCAAACAATGTTATATCCTGTCCGCGTTGTCGTGCCACAGCTACACTAACTCTTTACCTATCACGTAACATGCATTTCATATGGCTAAATTCATTTCTACAAATGGAGAAGGGCAAAACCATTCATTGTACTGCTGTCTCTAATTTTTTACACTTCAGTTTAGATGCGTAGAAGGCAATCGAACAGTTCACTTCATGTCAGCGTGTGAACTGATCCGGTATTAAACTGGAGACGAAATATGTATTTCTCTAATATTCATAGGCTGATGTCCGGTAAGGGAGGTTACTCAAAAGTCAAGATATCATTCACGAAAATCATACTTTTCAAATTTCGTTTTTAGATATCGTTACAGAACAGGTAAGTACGAGAAAGAGTCTTAATGAGTTTTATGCCCGACTTCAGTTATCTTGTTTGATCTTTGCAGGTGTTGCTTCTTTCACACCTAAAGTTACTGGAGCTTACATTATTAACGTGATGTCCGGGGAAAAACACATTCCTAATAGCCCCTTCAACGTAACCATTAAAGAAGAGGAAATTGGACATCCAGGAAAAGTGAAGGTTAGCGGTGCCTGTGAGAAGGCTGAGGCGAACACTACAAATATTCTTACTGTTGATTGCAAAGAGGCTGGTAAGTATGTATTCTTAAATACCATACAAATTACATATATTGTAGGATGTTAGATTATGCACGTCAATGTTTTACACAATAAAATTGTTATTATTGTTATTAGTAGTAGCAGCAGTAGTAGTAGTAGTAGTAGTAGTAAGAATTCATATGAGCAATATATCATCAGAGTTTCACCCTATAAAATCTAGCTTTATTAAAAATACAGAGTTTTATTATGCAAAGCGCTACATTTTTTAAACTTTTTTTATAATTCATGATATAGGATACAAAAATATATCAGTGATTTATCTTTTATAACTGAATAAATTATTATTTTATAGCTTACGTGTTAATCAGTCATAAATATTTTGAAAGGCTCAAACAAACACACTTTTGTTTCATCTTAACTACATAATACAAGTAAAAAATATCACAAGAAAAGTTTTTAAAAAAAATTGTAGTTCAATTAATAATAATCTGATCTTCTCTTCAAATTCCTTGTATATACAAAGACTGTTCGAAAAGTATTTCCCCATTTTTCATATATATAGAACTAGTTATGATGCCCTAATTTAACCCGGCAACCAATCAGATGTAATTTTATTGCGCATGTGTAAGTACTCAACCGGAAGTAAAACGTTATTTAAATAATCTGTGTACACCATTAAAATAAGACTATGAATGCCGCATCCAATGTGAATATCAAATTTTGTTTGAAACACGAACATTCGCATCAGTCAGAAGGCGCGTTCAGTGAGTGAATCCTAGATAAATGTTTGGTATCGATGTTTCAAAACCCGGTCGAGAATTCCTCTGAAAATGAATTACGTTCTGAAAGGCAGAAACAAAAAAATGTCGAAAACGACGTGCGAGTTGTAATAAAAAAACAAGACTGATAATGCGAGAATAAGAATATCTGTAGATTTCCTCTTACATGCCAAATTTGGCTTCCTGCAATTTCTATCCTTTATTCCCTAAGATAAAATCAATGTTCAAAGAGAAGAGTTTTCAAAAGGCGGACAAGATTAAGGATGCAACATCTGATAACGATTACATGTTTCCTAAGCCATTTTGGCCGTTGTAGCAGTAACGTGTGTGCCTCGTGCAAAATAACCTGACGGTGTCCATCCCTCCTCAAACTGGTTTTGAATTTAGAGTTGTCTTTCTTCTAAACTGGTTGTTCCCCAAAGCAAGCAAGACGACCCAATCTACCTTACTATATATCTCACAGCTACAGTAATATAAGACTCACGCCTTTTCCACGAACATTGATCTTGTTAATGTCATGTCATGATTGTTGAGTCAAGAAAGAATATCTGAGTGAGAACACACCATCTTCCCATCTAATAACTGCAGAAATGGTCATTATTCTCTCATTAACCTTGACAGGAGGCTATATGAAGACACTGTTGTGTGAAAGCAAATCCACACTAATTTTGAAGGCCTATCCTGATTATATCATTGTATATTGTTCTAGTTTCTGAAAACAAAAGAATTTCGGAGAGACTACGTAATTTAAAGAAAAAACTTTTAAAAGACAAACTCTGACAGTAGAATGTTCACGGATAGCACTGTTTTGATGGCCGACTCCGTAAGGAAACTGAAAGAATTCTTAGAAAAGACAGTAACGGAAAGCAAGAATAAAGGAATAACTATTGACTATAAGAAGACAAAAAGCATAGTTGTTAGTAAAAGAGATATCCTAAGGTGTGAGCTACGTATTGGAAAAGTAAAAATCAAGCAAATACAGAATTTAATTATCTTGTTAGTGTTAGCTTTGAAAAGCAGTATTCGAAAGCCTGAACTTGAACACTAATCACTGTTGCTGGAGAAAAATCCGTAACTACTTCAATCACTAAGGATGTTTTTTACATAGATATTTATCATAGGTTAATAATTTTCTTTTAACTGTTAATAATTTTTCTTTTTCCTCTGAACAGGTTATGGCGGTTTATCTGTGGCTATTGATGGTCCTCACAGGTCTGAAATCGTCTGCGTTGAGCATAAAGATAACGTCTACACAATCGACTACAGTCCACACGAGCCTGGAATTTACATCCTCAACATCAGATATGCTGATGACCACGTCGCCGGTAAGCTTTGTCGCTATATTATAAGAAAAAATTAAATCCATTATTAATAATATTATTATCGGTTCCTTAAGACTTTGGAAATTATTATTATTATTATTAAGATAATTATAACAACGTTTAATATTTATCGAAGAGTTTCCTAATATTTAATCATTCATTGGACCTCTCAACAAGGCAACAAGAAGGAACATCGAGTCACGATGAGTGATTCTATAGGTATTGAATGTTATTACATCTAATTTAATAATTATTATCACTCTCGTCTAATACTGAACATTTTATTAGCAAAAATTATGTCAAATTCAATATACGTCAAATTATATATTTTACGTATATTAGTAGCAAAATGACAAACATTGCTAAGAGTCACAACAGACAGGAAATTGTGTAGAGCCATAATTGCCCATGTGGTGAAGGAACACGGCACACAGAAGAAGAATTGCTAGTATTAATAGTTAGCAATATATATATATATAATATTATATAATCTATGCTATTATTAAGAGGAAAGACAAAAGTTTGTTTTTTTTGGTTTTGTTTTTTTTTGGGTTTTTTTTTTTTTTGGTTTTATTTTTTTTGTTTTTTAATTTTTTACTCCTCATTCAGAAATGAATGAAATTAGTTTTGAAATTTTTATTTTTAGAAAATCTTGGTAAAAAATTTTTTTTTTTTTTACATATGTTACCATCTACTTACATAATTTCATGAAATTTCGAGAAATTAAATTTTTAAGTGGGGGATTGATTTTTTTTTATTAGTTAAAAACAGGACTCTGGAGAATGTAAATCATAACTTTTTTTGTAAAACATTTACATCCTTCAGCGAAAATCTGCTCTGAATTGTAAAATAAAAATGCAATAAAACTATGGCATTATTTAATTAAAAAAACTTTTCATTGCTCTTGTAAATAAGCTATATTAAGCACATTATTGTCTAAAGAAATAAAAGTTTTTCAATAAATAATGAATTACCAGAATCTTTTCATTTTTAAAAAATTCTAATTATAATAATATAATAGTTCAAAAATCGTTTAAAATTCTTCATTGCTTTCAAGATGGCGGTTTGGTGATATCGTTACGTGCAAAGTAAATTTACGAATCGAAATTTGAAAAGCTCATAACAGTCGTTTGAATCTGAATATTTTAAAAATAATTTTAAAAATAATTTTTAGTGAAAAATCGTTCCTAATTTCTACCTATAGATGACATAATCCTTAAAAAGGTCACGTGATTTAAGTGTCGTCTGACGCACAGCAATTATTTAACTTTTAATTCAGTTCTGTTTCATCATTAACGTCTTTGCAAATATTGAAAATATCAAAAAAAGTTTTGCTTTTCTTAATTGCTATTTCACTAAATATGTATTTATTTTAGTTTGATTCATGCTTCAATAAATTAATTTTTTTTGTTTAAGGAAGTAAAATTAAAAGCCTAGAAACGAAATGCAAATTTCATAAAGCTTCTTAAAAATTTGACTAAAAGTCAATAAAAAATATCAAATAATTGCTGAAAAATTACTAGGTAGTTAAAAAAAAAAAAAAAAAATGCGTTCACTTAGTTTTCGTAAATATGTCATTTCTGGTCATCCATAAGAGCTGTCATCACCTTAAGTGTTTATCCATAAATCAATAAAGATCAAAGAAAGAGGAACCTATCGTTAAGAAATGCTTTTATATTAGTGTATTTTTTATGCTAAGTAAGTAATATTTATTTCAAATCAGATTAATTTAACTTTAAATTTTCCAATTTTACTCAAATCACGTGTAACAAATCTATAATTTAATTTTTAAAGAATTTAAAACCTGATAAATGTGTTTGTTTACAAATTTCTTAAAAATTAAGAAAATGGCCGCTTTTAAGAAAATTTTTAAAAAATCGAACAATTATTTAACATTCCAATCTATATAATTTCTATCTGAAATGCACCAGAATATTTTACTTACTTGAAATAATAAATTTAATCATCTAGCTCTCAATTAAAGCTAGAATGAAATCTTCAAGAATGCCTTTTCATTTTTTAAATTTAATTTTAAAACTTAGATATCGAAACTTCAGTGGAGGTAACTATATATATATATATATATATATATATATATATATATATATATATATATATATATATATATATATATATATATATATATATATATATATATATATATATATATATATATATATATATATATATATATATATATATATATATATATATATATATATATTATACACAGTTACATTAGAAACTGTAAGTATCCACTAAAATTGTTTCAACGTTTTATTTAAAATTTCAATTAATGATACATTACTTCATTTTCCATTTCTGGAAACGTTTCCATAAAAGATAAAAATGATTTCCATAAAAATAAAAAGGATTTACATAAAAGTTTCTAAAAATGAAAAATGAAATGATTTTTCATTAATTGCAATTTTAAATGATTGTTTATTACCATCATTGTTAACCACCTGAAGAGTGTCCTTCATTTTCGATTTTCTCTAAAACTTCAACGTTACTCACATGTTCGATCCGTGATATAATCAGCGTCCTTCTGTAGAACCACTTGTGTTGCTTCAAGTCTTGAAGCTGATTTCTATATTGAAATTTTTTCTAACATTTACAGGAAGTCCCTTTTTGGTGGATGTGCAAGGTTCTCCATCCGGACGTTCCAGGGAAACCGTTGAGAAAGATCTGCCGGGTGCTGATATTATTAATATTAGTGACAACATTGAATTTGTGCTTAGAATTCCAGGTAAGTAAAATATTGCTTATATGAAATTAGATTCTATATTTAAATCATCAAAGATGAAAGAACAATGGTATTTATGTTATAGCTAGTGTGTTGAGACCCCACACCGTACACACTTTCCTTCAAGCACTGCTATAAACAACAGAAGTGAGCGAGAACATTATAACTTCTTGAGTTCAAGGTCTATATGTACCAAGTAGTTTCACTCTGCGTACGTTAGCTCCGTTACTATAGCAACAGCTCTGATATTTTGGGTTCAGACCTAGTATATATATGCCCAAATAAACAAATATATATATATATATATATATATATATATATATATATATAAACTGTGCCCCTTGCTCTTTTAACCCTCTATCTGAAGTGACTTGCACATACAAAGTAAATCTCACTGTAATAAATAAATAAAAAATTAGTAAGAATTTGTATTTGCACTTAAAAATGTAGGCAAGAAAACAGATGTTTGTTAACACACACACACACACACACACACACACACACACACACATACACATATGTGTATATATATATATATATATATATATATATATAATTATTTATTTAAAAATATGATTCCAAATCGCTACATAAGAGGTCTCATGTTTCAAAACTAGAGCCGAAAACTTCAATATAATCCTTTAAATTAAATTGAGTTGAAAGTAAATGGGCCCGTTTACCTAACCAGTTCCTTCCTATTTTCTATATATTTTCACATATATATATATATATATATATATATATATATATATATATATATATATATACACGCGTGTGTGTGTGTAATTGATATATATGAAGAAATATAGTTTTAAGGTGTGCTATATTTACGGGATAAAATGCTCAATATCAGAGATAGAGCGTATGTAAATATAATATAAAAGTGAACATTGAAGTCAACAGTCAGAGGCGACAGGCTGTTTCATGCTAAATGAAAACACAATCGTCAGGCCTGACGATTGCGTCTATCATAAAAACAGCCTGTCGCCTCTGAGTGTTGACTTCAATGTTCGCTTATATATATATATAAATAAATAAATATATATATATATATATATATATATATATATATATATATATATAAAAGATAAAGAACAAATAAGAAACCGTTTATCAATCTATCATGTTTCACTTTTATTAAAGCTTCATCAGAGAATGAGATATGGAGAAAAAGAAGAAATTCTGGTATTTTTATTTTTGTGTTGTTTGATTTTCATTGGTTAATCATGTTTCACGAGCATTCGACTTGTTAAACAAACGCTGGTATATTTTGTGGCGTCCCCAATTCGAGGAGAGACGGCGGATTTGATTCTAACACGCACACATCTCTAGGCTGGTCGACATTAATTTCACTAAATTTTGAACTTCTCAGTAAACACAATAAATTAGTCGGAAACTTTGGAGAAAAGTAAATTGTTCTGTATATTATTTTTTTTTCTCTTTTATTTCCAGGCACAAATCCCTTCGACATGGAGGCCGCACTGACTGACCCTGCTGGAACCTCTGAGTTGTGTGAAGTAATGGATGAGGACGACTACCGTTACAATGTTCGATTCTCACCAAAAGTGAAAGGTGTCCATAATGTCAGCGTAAAACACAAGGGTTTGCATATTGCAGGTAAGTGCACTCGGCCACTGAACTTTCTACTTTACTACCTCTCTTTATTATTATTATTATTATTATTATTATTATTATTAAACAAAATGACGTTAATTTTTTCAATACTTTTCAACGATTTAAGAAAAGAAAAAACACTGACAATGTTGAACAGTATTTCGTCAGCATGTCTGTCTTTTTCAAGTTATGTTTAAAAATTACATACAAGTATAAAAATATAACAATAAATACAAAATTTAGAAACCTTTATACAAGCGACGTAGGGCGCCTTGAGGTGGTGTAATGGTTAGCAAGCTTGTCTGTCTAGAACAATTACGACTCAGTAGTGAGTCAGATCCTGACTGAGTGCCCCATACTTTCGGCCTTGTACCACATCTGAGCTACGCTTGGAAAATCACTATACACGCGACGTATAAACATTGTTAAATACTGTCTTTTATTTTATTTTCATAAATCGCGCTCTTCTCTAATTACTATTATTATTATTATTATTATTATTATTATTATTATTATTATTATTATTATTTATCTGTTTCATTACTCTAAGCAAATCAGGTAATCATCATTGGGGATGTTTTCCCAAATCTTTCAAAATTATTTGCGGGCCTCTAGTAATGCTATAGACATAATTATCTCAATACTTTATCGATTCTCTAATTTTGCAGGTCTCTTTGAAATAGTCTTTGATAAAATTCCCAGTGCTTCAGTGATTCTGTGCACTACCGTCACATTTATGTTCCATAGTTTGGTCAACTATTTTTGCTAAAGTTCTGATAGTTATTAGTCTTTTCTTTCAGTTTCATGCTTTTTGGTGTCAAATCGACAGTTCCATTTGCTATTTGCTTTATTTTACACAAGAACCATATCTCGTCCTTTGGCCCCGACCAGATGGTTTGGACCGGCTGGATCTGAAATTATAAAGCATTTTTATGCTTTATCTGGAATAATTTTTTGTTTATTTTCGTTTCATTAGTTCATATGGTAGAACGCAAATCAGTTCCGCTTTAATAACATATTGCTCTTATTGAATTTCAAGAAATACGTTTTGCCAACAATTTACTTCACTGTCACCTGCTGTTATCTTATTATTTTAAGATTTTCTCGTGCGTCAAATACAACAAAAAAAAAATAAAACAGATCAATTCACTCATATTTGCAGAAGTATTGTTTCCATCGAGTTTGAATCATGAAAGAATGGAGTCTTTTAATGGATTCTACTTTCTAATCCTGTTTTGTATTATTTTTTTTGTTTGTTTTTTTGTTTGTCGAGATACGAGTTTTTCGTAAAAGGGAAGGTGCGTTTCAACGAAACGCTGTATGATAAAATAGGGTCTGCCTACCCGGTCTTTTACCTATGTATTTTTACCTATGTGCTTTTAGTCACGCATTGTAAATTCTGTTGTTGTTTTTACCGCTTGCTTACTGCCCAAATCAAAGCAGCTGCATACACAGGTGTGCAGTAATTGCAACAAATAAACCCATAGGCAAACTAACATCCTATTAGTGACAGCTGTTCCCCAAAACATCAAAGACAGGGCGTGTACTGACCCCAACTGGGCTACAGCTGAAGCGATAAGGATGTCATATTTTTTTTTTTGTTTTTATGGAATATTAATGATTTTGTGAAATTACTTTCTTATGTTCCTATAACAGAAAGTAACGAGTAGACATTTTTATTGATGTTTACATAATCGACTAAATATTTTCTTTCTTGTACATACAATAAAAACACTCAGTGTTTATTCTTTTGTTTTCTGAAGTTCTAATCTTTATCATTACATCATCATTTTTTCTCTCCATCATCGATATTAACCATTACAATATAGTAACACTATTCTATTAGTAACGGTTGCATGAATTCCTGACCATTGGAAATCCCTTCAACATTTTATTTAATCTAGTAAAGTCATTTTCAAAACTTTCTATAGTAGAAGCATTAGCAATGCGTTTACATTATACATATAATATCTCTGGTCCATGCTTTAAATTCTGACTATTAAGACTCCATTTAACATAATTTTCAATGTCTTACTCTAGTAAGGTCGTTTACAATGCATTTCAATACCAAAATCATTAACAAGCCATTTACATTATACATATAATAACTCTGGTCTGTCAGTAATTCAGGTTTTAATTTCTGACCATTAAGAACCCATTTAACATGATTTTCAATGTCATTCCCTGGTAAAGTCGTTTACAATGCATTTCAATAGTAAAATCATGAGCAATGCAGTTTATATTTTTGCTAAAACCTAATTAAAAATCATAAAATTCTGTGTGTAATCATCAATCTTTCTTATTCCAGAAACAGTCTGAATTTGAAAATCTTAATATTATTATACTGTTATTTGCAATTTAATTGTATTTGATTTGATATTTATTTAACGTATTTAATTGTAATAAAAACATATAAATAACTATATTCGAATGTTCAATTCTAATTTTAACTTTAATAAAATGGCGATAAATGTATATATTTTTCTTGTGCAGGAAGTCCCTTTATGTACACTGTTGGAAGCACTGCAAGTGGTGGATATCACAAAGTACAAGCTGGTGGTCCTGGTCTCGAGAAGGGAGAAGTCAACGGCGAAAGTAAGTTGTAGTATGTTGAATTTGTTCATATGAAAAGTCAGATATGCCATGCGAAGAATGTTTGTGATTCTCTGAGAAATAATTAAACTTCTGAAGAAATTGATGGACTTAAATTATTTTTCTCTGTTTTCCTCATCCTTTGTCTCTTCCACTTCTATTCCTGATTCGTTTAATTATAGCTCACTTATTATTTTCTTTCTACCTTCCTTTTCCCGTTTTTCCTTTTATCATAGGCCTGAGTATCTATACATAACAATAAATGCGTTGTTGAATATAAGCTTGCATATTAATGTGGTACGATAGATAGATAGATAGATAGATAGATAGATAGATAGATAGATTAGATTAAATGTTCCTTAAACCTTACCCTGATTTTCACGGAGGTTATATCTACTCTTTAGGGGAAATAAAAGCTCAAATTCTGAACCCTTGTCTTATATTCATTATTTGATCTTAAGCCCAAATGTGTTCAGTGAACGACAAAAACAAAGGAATTCGACTTGCCGTTCCAATACTCTTGAAGGAGATTGTATGCATATACATATAACAAAATTATATAGTTGTTGATCACCACTTGATGCTACTTAAAGTTTCAGGTTAATTTTTCATTTATGCCTGATCACTGTTATGAGCATGAAACTTTAAGTATCGAGCCTTGAAGAACATCTATACATATAATTCTCTTTAATATATATTTTGCTCTGTTATACATTAAACATTATTTCTTTTCTACCAACACTCACTGTTCAATATATATATATATATATATATATATATATATATATATATATATATTACAATGAATCATTCATACAAAAAGTAAATTAGTAAAGTTAATGATATAAAATGGCGAAATCCCTTCGTTAACAAAATTTTAAAGATGATTTAACCTACTAAATCACTCGATGAATGTTATGATCCTTGTTTTTTAAAATTATAAGCAGTATAAGGCCTTTGTTAAATATGAAAGCACTTTCGACTGTACAGTCATCTTCAGAGTATTTAAGATTATTTAAGTGTTCAAGAAAGACCTTATACAGATTATAATTTTAAAAAACGCAAGGATCATAACATTCATCGGGTGATCAGTAGGTTAAATGCATCATTAAAATTTTGTTAGCGAAGGGATTTCGCCATTTTATATCATTAACTTTACTTATATATATATATATATATATATATATATATATATATATATATATATATAGAGAGAGAGACTCAGGGCTCAACACTGCATTGTGATTGTCATAGTCATTCACGCGATCTCTATGTCCACCTACTATCTAGAAATATGGCAAATTTTAACAATACATATACAGATAAACAACCAAGTTTTACTCCAAAACTAATCCCACCCCCTAATTTATTATGTCGTTGTTAACTGCATGACAGCAGAAGCTAGAGCTTTCTTCCAATTAAGTTTTGTTTTTTGACTTTTTCAAATTAGGACTCTGGTAAAATGGGGTCTGATATGAAAGTTCGTATGAGCAGATTTGTGTCATTAAATAGTCTCTTGTTGAACATTCCAGTGTATAAAACAATGAATATGAGAAATGTTAGGTTGTAAATTATATTTTCCAGCCGTGGCGATAGCATTGCGCATGATAAGGCATACTCTTGGACGGCTGAGCACAGCTGTTAACTCAGGAAATGAATACCACCTCGGCAAAGCTTAGATTACAATGGTAGTTTTGTCAAAAAATGGTGGTTTGCAGCGGAAAACTTGCTTTGTACTATTTTGTTTCCTTTTTCGGCTTTAGTTTCCGTGGAAATAAATAGGGAGAATAACACATACACATACAAGCATAGAGACACACACACACGTGTGTGTGTGTGTGTGTGTGTGTGTGTACAGGGTGAAATGAGTAAGTTGTCGCTATCTAATATTTTTAATTTCACGCATGCGCGTTGTTTGGTTTTGATTTTGTCGACTGCATAGTATAGTAGTGTCAGTTGAGCACCGTCTGTGATAAAAAGAGCATAATAACTCAATTCACTCCGCCAGAAACTTGAAACCGGCATGCTGTTCTGGTGATTACGAAGGTGTTTGTAGTGATCGCTAGTGATAGCGATGTTATTCCTCCAATTCATCTTCCCACAGGGCCTCAACACAAAGGCCTACATTGAGAAATTAGTGCTGTCCTCGGCCAAAGGAGTGGCTGCAACAGGACCCAGCACCATGCCACACAACCAGGCGAATCCAGTCATGGCTGTCAGACATTTCTGCGACTACATCACCCCTTACATCTAGCCACCCAACTCCCCAAACTGCAAATCCCTTGATTATTATGTGTGGGGCACAGTTGAGTGAGATACCAACAAATCTCCTTGTAACACTAAAGATGAACTGAAGGCAAGGATTATGGCAGCATTCACCAACTTAAACAAGGAGACCATACAGAACAGTCGCAGGAGATTCCGAAGTCGTTTGAAGGCCGTGGCTGAATCCAATGGAGATTTTATTCAATAAATTTACTCTTTCGTGTTTCAAGAAATTTTGGTAATTTTGGTAAATCTATCAGTTAAAATGAGATGTCAGTGTTATTTTTACGTAATTTAGATGATGATTTTTTTTTTATCGCACCCTGTATATATATATATATATATATATATATGTGTGTGTGTGTGTGTGTGTGTGTGTGTGTTTACTTCGTAGTTTCGTGACTATATATGTATAACCACACGTCAGAACAGAGTTAATCTGCTGTAATTTCTCGATTCTCCTGTACTTTTATTGGTGTGAGTGAGTTATTTATTTGCTTTCGCTTTGATATGTGTTGATTGATTTCCTTCGTTTTTTTTACTTTTTCTCTTTTTTTCTCTTTTATTCATTCCTCGCCTTGTTCATTGGTCTCTGGTTTATTTTTCACCATTTAATTTAGGTTATGATTGGAACTTTGTCTGTATATGTATGTTTGTGCAGGTGTGAGTTTATGCGCATGTATATGCACGCATACACTCACACACACGCATGTACGCATACACTCACCCACACGTGTATGTTTGTGTGTCTATCTGTGTGTTTGTCTGTGTTCGTGTTAACTGTATTCTGCGTTTAATTGTGTGTTTGTGTGTGTATTTGTGTTAACTGTATATGTATTTTTTTATGGGTTGTATTTCACTTTACTTAGTGCTTAAATATATTTTAGTGGGTTGTATTATTTAACTTTATTTAGTTTTTTAACTTTACTTAGTTTTTGATACTTGTGTTTAGCTGAACGAAAGTACAAGCCAATTAGTTGTTTCTCTTCTATTTTTTCCTTGATTTATGTTTAGTATGCTCCTTATTTTTGGTGCTGTTTTATCCATTTTAGTTTAGGTTATGGTTGAAATTTTGTGTGTGTATGTGTATGCGCGCGCGTGTGTTTTTGTTGGTCTTTTTGTACGAATGTTTATTCATGTACGCGCTCGTGCATGTACACGCATGTATACATAATTGCATACAAATTTGCACGCATATACGTACTCGCACGTGTATGTTTGTGTTCGTGTATGTGTGCGCCTGTGTATTTGTGTTCGTGTGGGTGTTCATGTGTTCGCGCCCTTAAATGCGTTCTCGTTTTTTTTTTTACGTTTTATAAGGGGTGTGTTGAGGTTTGGTGATTATTAAATCTTTCTTTAAAGGTTGTTTCTGTAACTTTTTTCCGCGTTTGTGTTCTTTGTTACGGTGGCTTTATATATTATGTTGTTTAGGCATATTTTGTTAAGTGGGTAATTGTTTTTATTACAATTGCATTTGTTGTGGTTGTTATGCTGATTTGTGTCGTTGTGGTTATTATTGAGTATTTTTGTTTTGTTTGGTTATTATTTTTTCGATGTTATCCATGCAGCTGTAGCTGATTTTTAGTGTGATTTTATTGATGATTTTTGATAGTTTGTTGTGTTTTTAGAAACGTTTTTAACAATTTGGAAGAATATTTTCCTATTTTCGTTTTTATTGTATTATTGTAAGGTGGGTTGAACTAGATTACGTTCCTGTTTTTATTGTGTTTGCTTGGTTTGTTTTCATTTGTGCAATCTAGTTTGTTCGGATAACAGCTATTTCTTAATGTTGTTTTTTTTTTTTTTTTTTTTTGTTGAATATTTTTAAATTGCTGAAATTTGTTAATATTCTTTTGTTTATGGATATGGGTATGTGCTTGAATACATAGGAGGGTGGTTGGAGTTTTTGTTGATGTATATAGGGTTTATTCATGGTATATATGCTTATGGGTTCGCACATTTTTGCGTCGTCATAGCTGCCGACTGTTACGTCAACGGTATCTTCGATATTGATATTATTGCTATTATCGGTGCTGCGTTAAAGTATGCATATGTGTGTGTGCGCGCGCGCGTGTATGTCTGTGTGTATGTTCATTCTTTTTATGTAATTTACCTCTTATATTTCTAATAAAACTTTGCCTTTTCAACAGACGTGTTCAACGTTTATACCAAAGAAGCTGGTGCTGCTAAATTGTCCATCTCCGTGGAAGGTCCCTCTAAAGCTGTAATGAATTTTGAGGAGCGTACACCTGGAATTCTTATCTGCTCTTACAAAGTAACTAAACCAGGTAAGATTACAGTTTGATATATATTTATTTACTATGTTTCTTATTGTATGTGCTTATAGTGTATGCTTTTGGTGTTCAACCAGAGAAATTATTTATAACATTACACATTGCTATCAAGGTCTATATTTATAAGTTTATATATGACTATAGCACAGATGTACACAATTCATAACAGAAATACATACAATAGCATTTTATATATTATAATTTGCCAGTAGTAAAAATAAATCATTACAGCTGTTTCTTAATACTTTGTCATCTATAACAAATGGAAGACTCACAACCATAGACATTGGAAAGTTTCAGAATTAGTTTATCAGTTTTGTAACTAAATACAAATAGAAAGGAATTGTATTATTCCAATCCTAAAAGCCGTGGATTCAAATAGAAATCCTCTACTTGTCTTCTCTGTTGTATTCCAGAATTATGGAGAAGAAAACTTATGTCTAATATTTCCCAGTATCATAAAATTCATTCCGAGAAAATAAAATTAGCCTTAATTTATATTCATCTTGATATATCATTGTTGTAATTCGGTTCATTTCTTACTTCGATTACTAAGGTAATTATATCTTCTTGCGGATTCCCGTTTTAATTTAAGACCCAAATACTAAAACATTTTTCTGTTCCTTTTCATCTTGTTTTCAGGTGTTTATGGCGTCCATCTTAAATTTGATGAACAGCACATCCCTAACTCTCCATTTATGGTTAACATCTCTCCTGACAGCGTGGAAGCCAAAATGGTCGAAGTTCATGGCTTCAAAGATCGAGGCTTGATGGTTAGTATTCTACCAAAAGCATTCACTAAAAACAAAGAATCAGCTCTCCTATCCCTCTCAGTTATATATTTCTTTATAGATGTTTAATTTCATATCTGAGGTCTCATCTTCCTCCTTTTTGCATTGAATTTTGGTATTGAAACGTTTACTCGTCGTTGCTGATAACTTCTCATATGCCGATTTTCTAAGCGTAGCTTAGATGTAGCACAAAGCCGAAAGTATGGGGCAACCAGCGAGGATCGAACTCACTACTAAGTCGTAATTGATCTAGCGAAACAAGCTTCTAACCATTGCACCACGTTGAAGTGCCCAAACTGATTTTCTAAGCGAAAGTGTAGTCAACCAGTGAGGATCAAACTCACTGTTCAGTCGTAATTAATCTAGCGAGACAACCATTAAACCACGTTGAAATGTCCCAATAACTCCTCATATGACTTCTTAGCCCAAAATGCGAACTACGAATTTGACATATCAAAATCAAGCAAGTACGAAAATATAAACATCTGGAAAGTTTTTAACAGAGGGTGAAAAATGTCATACCGAAATCCGAAGGTATATTGGAATAGTGAAATATTAAGAAAAGGGAAAATTTCGTTAGAAACAAAGAAAATAGTACCAAACGTTTATGTAATCTCACTTTTCTTCCATGACAATGAATGTTGAAGAGTCTCCTCGCAGATAAAGAAGAGACCTGAGACAACAGAAATGTGGTTCTA